CGCTAAAGCCGCCGTTAAATGCTGTGACTTCTTCATTCGAGGCGCCGGGTTTAGTAGTAGGCGTAGGATCTCGAAAACGCTCTGTGGGAAATGTTTGAATCTCAGACCATCACTGAGATTGAGATCAGGCGGGAAGTCCGTCAAGAAAAACCGAGTTTCAGTGAAATTCGGACGCCGAGATCATCGCCTGGTCTCATCTTTTTCGCTGCCGCGTAGAGGCAATCACGTGGAGAAGCATCGCGTACGCCTGAGTGGTAACAAAGGCTGTTATTCCCTACCGTGGCGAAAGGGTCACTGGTCAAACCGGAGGGGTAAACGATGCAGTGCAGATGCCCCTTTCTTCGAGTTCAGCGGCTGCGGGTCAAAAGTCGCTGCTACTGAGTTCGGCGAACGGGTTGATTCGTCGTCCTTTTGTCCAGACCGCAACCCTCAGAAGCTGTGGAATGCGCGACTCTCCAGAGTTCGTCTGAGAGGGGCCCCGTCTTGCCGTTACTAGGAATAGACATTGTAATTAGCTTTAGAAATTGTTTTTCTACTTTTGTCGTAAGCCGTTGAGCAAGGAATGAGTCTAAATTTTTGTAAGTTTTACTTTCCTTGTCATCGGAGAAGCAGATATTCAGGTTTGTTTGATTACTTTTGTTTTCCTTATATCTCGAAAGGTAACAGTTAATGTGCTTTATTTTAAACAGATAAGGCTAAGTAAAAGCCCCTGTTTAAAATACCCTTTGTGTTTGAAATTACATGTTATTGTGCGCGTCAATGTGGGTCAACTTTGCCCTTTGTTTTGTTTAACGCGCGCAAGTTTGATTTTCATTGTTATTCACTTACTTTTTCAAGCGCGTTTTATTTTGTTGGGATGCTCATTGGCTGAGCACTTTGAGTTAGGGCTTATCGAATGGCTTTGTTTTGTTTAGCGGTCTGAAGCTTGCAAGAGACGCCAATGTGCGTAATTCGGGTGTTCTTGGTATTCTAAATTGTAGATTCGGGGCCAAATTGAGTTAACCTCAGCAGCTTCGATCGTCCCTAATCTGCCCGGGTCGCAATCGAGAATCGCTCACGAAAAAAAAAAAATTCTGTTTGGTTTAGCAGTGTCATGCACTGTAAAGGAGTGTCCACATTATGTATTGCTCCTCAGATACATTGCTCGTGATGCTATTTTTTTTAGCTCAGTTAAATCTCGAGGAAAAATTTTCGTTTCTGCTGGTCTGGCGACTTGATCAGCATTTGGAGGGTGCTTGCTTTGGCCGGAGTGGTTCGCCTTTGTGTTCGACTCCGTCGTTCCAGTGAACATCTGCAGGCCTTTGGAAGTCTCAACGGGCGGAGAGAGCGGAACGGCTACCGATGGTCAACCAGCATCCCTCCTTCCGAGCCGCGTTGACGGCTCAAAACTCCGGATGCATTGTCTGGCGGCGGGGGTGCTGTTGTGCCACAGACATGTTCCTGGTTCGGAAGCACGCCTCACAAGATCGAGCCCTGTTTCGACGAACTGTCTCCCCCCCCCCCCTCCCAGCGCCGCCTTCTGTGCAGGAGAACCGTGCAGTCCGAGGATAACGTCGTTTCCTCCGCCGAACCACTTTGCAGTTCCGGGCATGGCTACGTCTCCCCCTCCGAGCCCGAGAACTGGTCTGAGTGAATGGACCAAAGACGCTATTTAAGGCCGAGCCGGCCCCATGTTAGTAGATTTTGCCCCAGCCGACGTTGTCGTGCTGGCTGGCTCTGTAAAACGACAACCTGCGATAGTAAACGCTACTTTTGTTGCTGTTTTCCAAACGGATTGCCTCCCTGTTTCACCTTCGGGCTAAGGCTTCATCGAAGTCCGCTGGACGGCCCGCCGCTCTTCGCCACCGCTACCATCGCGACAGAGCAAAATTCCTAACAACGTGAAGCCGGGGCCAAAGGGGTGTGTTGCCTCTGCTGGGGGGCCTTAAAGGTCCAATCACCCAGCGTCAGCTCAACCCCCAGGATCCCCTTTTCCCCGGGCACGGCAAGGCCACGCACGGCTAGGCGTGGGAGGGAGTCAAAACTCCCCCGTTAGCTCGGGTCCGTGGTGTCGCTACACACCAAACGCCTACTTGCGCAGGCGCCCCTGCAGGGAACTAGAAAAATCAACTAATAGCTTCTTTGCACAAGTTGATGCTTTGGGAACATAATAATATGAAAAAATAATTTCATTTAGCAATAATTATCTCTTTAAGTGTGAAGAGCATTAATTAGTATAATTATGCTTGTAACTCAAAAAGTACAAGAGGTATTTGAAAACGGTTTTCATATTTGGAATCCTCACAATCATCCACATACACACACCAAATTTCATCACAAACAGTACATTAATAAAAAAATTAGTTTTACTTGCCACGTCCCCCCTTAAGTGTCTTGGTTGTTAGATGCATGCGACTGCATTGTAGTGCGTATTGTTGTCTGTGTTCGTTGTTCCGAGTGTGGCTGATTGTACTGTGTAGTACGTTGTTTGATTGGCGAGATATTGTATTCAACTACAGTGAAAGCTCGTTAATTCGCACCTCATTAATTCGAACTTTCGGGTTAACTCGAACTGATGGTCATGGTCCGGCCACAATGTATAGGCGTCTATGAGTTAACCAACTCGTTAGTTCATGCGCGCATCGGCTCCTCTATTGATAATTCGAACTGCGCGCCGCTGCGTGGTAGTATTTTATGCTTCCGCCGCAAGCTTTTATGGCTCTACGATAGATGGCGCAAGGGCTGAGCGCAAATCAATCCAATCCAATCTAGTGCCTGGATACGTGGCCACGTGGCGTCATTGCACGACTGCGACAGGCTACGCGTGGGTGTTCTGTGGGCGACTGCGCGCGCTCTTCGCATCGTGTGGTGGTCGTGTTGGACGCCTCCCCGTGTGCTTTGTGTGCCACACATTCAGTCGCTAGGCCTCGTGTGCGTCAACGCTACGAAGTTGTTCAGTGCCGTGGGTTTTGTGACGGTGTTGCCTTCGACTGCTGGACCTAGCATACCGCACTTAGTGTACATGACTTCTCGCGGAAGAGGACAGAGCGCCAAAACGCTCAAGGAAAAGGTAGAAATCCTTTGTGAAGTGGACTGTGGGAAAACAAGCAAGCTTGAAATCGCAAGGAAGCATGGAATCCCAAAAAGCACTCTTTCAACATATATCAAGAATAAGAGAGCGATTGAGGAGGCCTACGCAACTGATGCGTTCACCGGCAGTCGCAAGAGGCTTCGCTCAGCGAAGCACCCCGAATTGGAGCGCGCAGTGCTCACGTGGATCAAGGAAACGAGGAGCCAAAACATCCCACTGAGCGGCCCTATCGTTATGGCGAAAGCAGCAAACTTCGCGCTTCGCCTCAACATAGATGATTTTAAAGCTTCGGAGGGCTGGCTTCATCGTTTCCGAGAGAGACACGAGATTGTGTTCCGCACTGTGTCTGGTGAAGGCAAAGAAGTCAACAGCGAGACATGCGCAAAGTGGCAAAGCGGTGCTTTGCAAGAACTGCTTCAAGAGTACTCGCCCCGCGATATATTTAATGCCGATGAAACGGCATTATTTTATAAGCTGCTGCCAAGTAAAACGTTGACGTACAAAGGCGACACCTGTGCTGGCGGGAAGAGAAGCAAAGAGCGCGTTACTGTCTTGGTCGCAGCAAACATGGATGGTACAGAAAAACTACCGCTGCTGATCATAGGGAAGGCCCTGAAGCCTCGTTGCTTCAAGAACATCCGCACACTACCGGCAGAGTATACAGCCAACAGCAAGGCATGGATGACGCGGGAAATATTCAAACAGTGGCTGATAAAGCTTGACCGCAAGTTTGAATTAGCTCACAGAAGCGTGCTCTTGGTAGTCGATAACTGCTCAGCGCACGTGGTTGATGTGGACTTGAAGGCGATCAAGCTCTCGTTTCTGCCGCCGAACACAACGGCAGCCTTGCAACCAATGGACCAAGGGGTCATTAAGAACTTGAAATGCTTTTACAGGCGCCACATGTTGGAGCGTTTGGTGTTGTGCGCCGCCGGTACAAAAGGCTACGACGTGACGCTGCTCTCGGCCATGCATATGTTGGTGCGGGCCTGGGATCAGGTCACGGCAACAACTGTTGCCAATTGCTTCCGCCACAGTGGCTTTTGTGTGGCCATTGAGGGCACAGCGGGCGAGCTCGATGAGCGTGAGGCCGACGTCATTCCTGCCGGACTGCGGGATGCGCTGGGGGACGTGAACTTCGGCGACTACGTCGATGCAGATCGCAGTGCAGTGGTCTGTGGCACTATCACCGACGACGATATCATCGCCCAGGTGACTGGCGAGGAAGCACTCGTCGTCGACGTGGGTGAGGACGAGGAGGATGAGGCGCCGACGCGTCCGACAGCTTCGGAGGTAATGGAGGCTATGCGTGTCGCGCGCCTCTTCTTCAGCTTCGAGGAAGATGAAGAGGATGCCTTCCGCCACGTTCGCGCATTGGAAAACAAAGCGATGGCAATCACTTTCAAAGAAAGGAAGCAGAAAGTTATCACAGATTACTTTCGCAAATAAATATTTTGTCTCATCTTCAAACAAACCGATCTCAATTCTTGCTGTTTTTTCAGTGAATTTCGTTAGTTCGAATTCGGTTTAATTCGAACTCATTGGGCATCCCCGCGAAGTTCGAATTAACGAGCTTTTACTGTATTGTCGAGTGTGCATACTTGTGTATCGTTTTGATCTGCCATAACTGAGAATATAATTTTGTTTTGTTTATCAACTCTCGGCTCTGACTTGTTCTTTGGGCCACAGCCGGCGTCCGCTGGCGCACCAAATAGGACCACTTCTAAATTGTCCACGCTTTCGTGGTGTGGTTCGGGGGGCCGATACTTCGGCCCTTGGAATTAGCCCAGTGATCGCCTCCCGAATTGACGGGACCTGTGAAAATTGATCTTCGCGTCTCTCATACCCATTTATCTCATGTACCAGTGTCTCTTATAAAGGGGTTCGACTGTACAGTATTGTAACATTCAGTCAATGACGTCCAAAGTACCATGACGAGCTTTGGGTAGAGGTGGCACAGCTTGACCAGCCCGGCGCACGCGTGTCGCCTCAGGTTCCTCAGGGCGCGGCTCTGGACTGTCGGTGGCTGGTTTGGCAACGTGAAGATGGCGCAGGAGAAGAGCTGCGATTGAGCGTGCACAGGTTTAAGACGCGCCAAATTTGCGTGACGCATGCAAACACTTTCACAAAAAGTCCCCCGAAACCTTCAGAAAAGCAACTGGAAGCATCAAATGTTGTAGGGAGGAGCTCGAAAAACATTTTTTTTCTGGTGTTAATGCCCAGACAATTCCACAGCACATGGTATGCTCTCCACGTTCACGACGTAAAAGCTCCTTCCTTGAGTGAGGGCTTCATGGCAATAAGGGTGTTATTCTAAGGCGCCTCTTCACAGTAGTGTGAGAAGTAAGAAATTGATTTGCATGCAAAATGTGCTTCAGTATGGCTGCATCGCAATATGGTTCGAATTTCCGCTTAAAGTCTTGAAGTGATGGCTACAAGAGAAACCTCTGGTGGGTAGCAGATGATCTACGAGGTGCAAAATTTACACGTAAGCCTCACCCTACACGTGTAAGGAGGCAATAAAAGAGGCAGCAGCCAAGAGATGGCGACGAGCGGATCTGGGATGCGCAAAAAGCTTCTGAACGAGTTCAAACTCGTGTATCCTAGCCCACCGTCCTTCACTACCCTCTCTTATTTCTGCGAATTCACGTCTATGTGAGCCCAGCTGTGGTGTTACTGTTTTGCTAGGCAGTGCTAGGTACGGTGAAACCCAGCTCTGGGTACAGCCGCCTGCCTCAGACCAGCTGTGGTGGGGTAAAACTCAAGTTACACAAGGGGTTTCCATCAGTACGCGTGGCTTGGCTCTGTGCAGCAAGGCAAGGTGTTGTCCAGCTGCGGAACAGCTGGTTGCTAGGCAACGCGACGCAAGGTTTTTAGGTCACGACATACACTTTACAATGAGTCAGAAAAGCTTTGCTGTTGAACATCTACCCCTATCCCATGAAGTACAAGTGTTGTATTTTGCATCAGTGTACACAGTATCTCTTATGCCATAACTTTTTATCTAGTTCTTAACACCCCCTCTATAAAAATCAACGGAGCATGAGCTGTTTTTTTTAAAAGGAGCCCTGAAACACTTTACGAGCATGGCCCGAATATGCTGTCGATCGGTAGTCGAGGCTTTCGTGAACACGCAAGCCTAACATTGTAGTGCAGTTTACGGCCCGCAAATCGCAATAAATTTTCAAACTCAGCCAGAAACTGCATTCTCTTCTTTTGTGAAATGATGTAGGTTACCCAAAATCATTTGGTAGAAGACATTGTATGGGCCACTGGCTGATTTGAGCACGGCGCGCTCGTTCGTTACTGGGATCGCCGCGGAGGTCCGGACTTGTCCATGCATGCATGCGCGATCGTGCTGAAAAGTTGCATATTTGAAGAAAAAAAAAAAAGAGAAAGAAGTGCTCAAGGGCACAAGGCGCATGTGAAGTTTTTCTTTCCCTGTGCCATCCCTCCCTGCTTAGCTTCCAGCACTTTCATCGGGCGAGGGAAGAGAGAATGCAATTGCAGCGCGATACAAATCCTTATAACTCTGCTCGTTCTCAATGATGGATGGATGGATAAAAACTTTTATTGGGGTCCTGAAGGATTCCACCCCCGTTTCTATAGGGTTAGGACCGCAGGCTGCTCCCACGTTGGGACGGGGAGGCCCACCCTCACGGCCGCATCGTGAGTCTTCTGGACAGCCTTGAGTTGTTGTATGAGAACCCGACTTGTGAAGCTCGTTAATGAATTTAAAAATTTTTGCGGCAGTGCATTTGTGAGACAATAAGCTCCATTAGTGAATTCATTAAATGGCTGCTTTAAAAAGTGCTGCAGGGCTCCATTAAGGGCCAATGAATAATTGCTAGCGTGAGTATTTTAGTGCCGAGTCAAGTTATGTCGGCTATGCACCCATCAACTCAGCGCAACATTATGCTGGGCACTGGGCCAGCTGCACTGCTGTTGTAATGCACAGCGCTGCTCCTCCTATTCTTATTTAACTCATCCACAGTGACAGCTGCACCGCTGGCATCAACTGCAGAGCTTCGCCCACTTTTATTGATGACCTTCGTACACTTGCACTGCGAACCTTCAAAGTGGGGGTACATACCCTATCACAAAGCAATCACACCAAAACTTGAAATGCGAAATTACAGACGATCACTGACCAAATTACCCGCAGCTTTAATTTCATTCACGTCGGAGATTTTCCGCCCACCTTGTTCAACACGTTGGGCAGACTTCCCGGGGCAAGCGTAAGGAAGATGCCCAGGTTGGATATGCAGGACAGGGCGTAGGACTGAATCACTGGGTCCTGCAGCGGGGTAAGAAACGGAAGAGGGGTAACTACGTGTGGCGTTTCGGATTAAACGAACCGCCGATCGTAGTTTGGTGACCTCCCGAGCACGAAGACAAGACTCTCACCTCGGTTTCAAAATTCAGCAGCGACTCCAGTAAGAAGATGCCCTCTTCCGTGCTTGGCTGCGAGCACAGACAAGAAAGGTGACGAAAAAATTCGAAACATGCAGAAAACTCACTCTGAAGCCCATCGCTTGTGTAAACCAAAATGTACTGTTGACCTATAATGAAATGCAAACAGTGGCAAGCATTAGCAATGGTATTATAGTGCACACTGTCTAGTCATCATTGCTGACATAAACCCCATTAGGACTGGCTTGATGACATCTCTGTTCTAGTGTTGATATGGTGGCATGGTGAGAATGCTAGCACACGGGTGCATGCTGAGCGCTTTGTCTATTTTACTATATTTTCTTTCAAACTTTTTTGAAATATCAGAACTAAAGCAGAAGCAGAAATATAGCATTATACACTCAAAACTCATTATAACAAAGTTGCATTTTATGCAAAATAAGTTTGTTATATCTAAAAGTTCCTTATAAAGGTTTATTCCTGACACTACAGTTGCCGACCGATTTTTCGGACTGTTGGATATTTCGGACTTCAAAAGTGCACCATCAGGGTTCCCATAGGGCTAATGCATTTTTTCGACAGATTTTTGGACGAATTTGCCCTAAAGTTGGATTTTTCGGACTAAACCACTTGTCTTGAGCTGCGCCACGAACCTGTATGAACGCCGCCATGTTGGATTTTCTGCCGGCTTGACTAAGCTTAGTGGCTTAATTTTAAAATGGGATTTCCTGCCTCCAAGATTGGAAAGCAAATTTCACATGTGTTCAAATGTGTTCAAGTTTCGGAGGCCGTGTCTGCTTTTAGAAAACGCGGCACGGGACCCGTTTCTCGCCTTCAGTCAGCCGTAGTGGTGAGCCCTGTCATCATTGCACTGTAAACGGAGGAGGTGGAGCTGCACAGTAGTGGAGTGAATGTGCCTGCCACAATGACATTAGGGAGCTTTAGAATAGCGCACCTGCGAGGCCTTGCGGTGGCGGCCACTGCCACTGCGCATGCGTCGTAATGCGAGACGCCGTTCGCGGCCCGCGAGGCCCGCAAAGTGTTGTGTGTAGCTTCCGTTCACTTGAGTTTGCGGTCGGGGCGAATGTTGGGACGAAAACTTCCTATTTAAAGACTTCGTTCATGCAGACGATGACGATTTCGTGCGCGGAGTCCACAGACGAAGAAATTCTTCGCCAGGTTGTGCCGCAGCCGGAGAGCGGTTCGGATGATGACGATGATGACCGCCCGCAGCTGTCGGCAGTGGAGACCGCCACCGCGGTGATGCTTTTGTCGAGCATTTACGGTGACGATGCCACGTTGGCGCAAATATGGGAAAACCGAATTGCTTCCAAGTGTAGTATAAGGCAAGGCAGAATCATGGACTTTTTTAAGCCTGCCTGATGCAATAAAGTTCATATTTCTGACAAAAACGAATTTTTCGGACTGTTCAATTTTTCAGACTTTTTTTTCGGTCCCCGCCAGGTCCGAAAAATCAGTCGGCAATTGTATGTCTATTACAAGAATATTTTTCATTTACTTTGCTATAATTCATATTTTGTTATACCTCGTTTCTTTATATCGAGGTTTCAGTGTAATGGGATGGTGCAGTTTTGCCAGAACGGATGCCAACAGTGATGACTGCACGACATGCACTAATATTGATCCTGGATATGTCAAACTCAAAGGGCATTGCAAAATGCCACACCACTGCTAGTGCTTGCCACTGTTCACGTTTCATGGGACACCGACAGCACAAGCCTGCACTTTTAGATTATTAGTTGAATGGGTCCAATATGGCGAAGTTGCACCCCTTACGTCATTGGAAACGCTCACCTTGGGGTTCGGAGAAGACAGGAACCGGCTGAATACGCCGTCCATGAAATTGACGAGGGCATCCCAACGTATGCTGGATGGCGAGTTGAGTGAACAGTGGCCGTTCTCCGGTTCTTTGCAGGGCCGGAACATTGAATTGGACATTAAGGCAGTAATTAGCACACAAACTAGGCCTAATGATGAGATACGACCGGATGGACTTAACAGGGAGGGCTTTTAACAAAGATAATTTGATTGATGAGGACCATCTGGGTGCCTAAATATAAATGAAGCCACTGCATCCCCCATACAGATCACATATGATCACCTCAGGCATGGTATCTACACTTCCACAAGGCTTTAAGAGAAAAAAAGAAGGCAAAACTTTTTATTATTGATGAAGAGCAAACACTTGTTCCCTCATCTCAATGTCACTGACTTAGCTTAATGCTTAATGTAAACACCATAATAAACGGCCATCAATAACTTCGCAACCCAAATACATAATTTCTCATTGAAACATGCACGACTCTTGTTCTACCAGGCTAAGATGTGGCCGTGATTGTTCCCCCAATCTGCCAAATTAATTGTCTTTCACATATTCCGCTATCCCACCATTTATTTATTGACAACACCTTACAGGACTCAAAAGGGCACTGAGTAAGGGGAATTGCATAAAAGAGTTAGTAGTGAATGAACAGGCCAGCAAGGCAAAGGCTATAAACATATAATTAGCACCCATGAACACATCATTATACAATGTGAACGAAGAATGCAAACGGGTTATCCCGAAAAGCTTTGCGACAGCAGCCAGCAGGGAAAATAGACACACTGCAATCACTAAGAGCTACAACGTACCGCTTCCAACTTCGATTTTGGCTACAAGCAGCGTCTGTAGCCACTGGCTCACCATCTGGAAGCCAGCGATGGGGTTCAGCAGGGTGGCCAGACGAACGGCCTCCGTCAGGTCAACCCTGAATTCTGCCGAAAGAGAATACGACGTCTTTTAGCAAGGAAATTCAAAGACACATTCTTCGAGAAGGCTGAATTTATTCGGCAGAAATTAACGGGGCAGATTGCGAGGTAATGAACGGGAATGACGGCAGCCCATGCGAAGAAAGCACGGAGCGACGAAGGAAGCCCTCCTGGCGTTCTCAAAAAGAAAGCTCCGAGTGCATAGAAAAATTCGCTTAGCAACTGGCATCACAAATAGTGAACAAGAGTTGGTCCCAGCTATTATTTAACTTCCACAATCAATCAATCAATCAATCAATCAATCAATCAATCAATCAATCAGTTTCGCCTACTTCCTAAAGAGACAGAGACGCTGAGGGTGAAATGTGCAGCTTGACAAGTTATCAACACCCAGAGAAATAGGTACAAGAGAGATTGATAAAACTTACTGCCTAGAAATTGTGCGAAGTTCTCGTCATCGTCAAAGCCAAGCCGAGCGTAAGCACAGGCCGGACTATCGTTTCTGGAAGGGTAGCCGACCTGTAGTATACAAGGCTTGTCTCAGTAACATGCGCTGTACGGCACACGAGAACCGCGAGCGGCTATATAAACAAAGAGGCATTGCTGGAGAGTACTGCTACGATTGGGTACGAAGCCGCAGCACAGAGAAAATGCATGATTCACAGGCACAACGAAACCTCCATATGTCACGAACTTGTATATAATGAATTATCAATTAAAACAAAGTCAAGTGAAGAATAGTCTTGCAATAGATATTACGTTATGACTACACTTTTATAACAAATTTCCAGATGTAACAAACTTATTTGCATGTAAGACGCAACTTTGTTATAACGAGGTATAAACTGAAGCTTTTCTTCGTACTCCTCTGGCAACTTTTGGCGTATGCCCGTTCGCCTTCAAAGGAAAAAGCCTTTCCTCTTCATAAAGTTAGTTAGGCAGCACCTGCTCGCTTTAAACTGGCTCCGCATTAGCCCTTTTTTTAAGGCTAACTGCATAGCCTGCACTTGGAGCAGTTCTGTCGTCACGGGCCGCTGTGCCACTCACTGCTCAATCACATACTCGCCGAGCAGCTCTTCAATTTGCGGGAACCGACCCTGCTGTGGTCCGCTGAAGCCTTTGCGTGAATCTTTGCTGTCGACAATATTCTGCTTTTGTTTCCGCCGGTCCCGCACGCACGTTTCGGGAACTCCGAACGACCGCGATGCAGCCCGATTTCCGTCCGTTTCGGCACACGCGATGACTTTTCGTTTAAAAAGCGGCATCGTGGTGCACTCGTCGAGTTTTTCGAGTTGGCCCTTGCATGCCGTCGATGCTAATGCACTACAAGATGACGAATTCCTCTGTGGATGAATGCGATGCCTTTTCTCACTGTATAAGTTCATAAGGCTGCCATCAGAATTTCAGGAGATACATATAAATGCCAATAGCCTTCAAGATTGGATGAGATGTGTGCAATGCAACTGAAGCAGAGAGTGCTGGCAGCTGTCCTAGGAAGTTGCCGAGGGAAGGCAACTTCCTTCATTTAATAAGGAGAAAGCCTAAGGTGGTTCCTAAGAAGCAGAGTGTGACTTTTCCCACTGGTTCTCACAGTAGGAAACAACACATACGTCACCAAAAGAAGCTTGAAGGACCCTTGAGCTTCACCTTCAAGAATAGATTTCGATAGGATAACTGGGCCTTGTGTGCACTGCATTTTCAATTGCTAGCCTAGCTTCTGTTATCTGTGGCTGCCTCAACCATGTCAAAAGAGAATGAATGCCTGTGCGCGTTACGCTGGCTGTTTCAAAACTATTTCCAAAAATACATATTGCAAGTACAGTGGTGCAACACCCATCATGACATAATTCCTCCTTTGGCGAATCAGCAAAGGGCCACGTTCGTAAGAGAACATGCGCACGTATTCAACCGCTCGCTTTGATGGCGCTATTCAAGTTGACGAATAAATATGTCCGAGTGCTTTGCGAAAGGTTGGCCTTTAGGACACATACTCTTGCAATTCAGATGTTTTGATGTCTGGTTTGATTCTACGCTTCTGCCACGCAAAATTACGCATGCTGAGAAAACTCTGACTGCTGCACGACATCGGTGTCGTCTTTTTTACTGAAGCTGTTTACAGCAACGGCGGTGTTCTGCGATAGAACACCTGCTTCTCGTGCAATCAGTCTGTGCTTGCTTCTCACTTACACCAAAGATTTTTCTTTTTTCTTGTTTATATTATTTGCACCTTTATCTTTTTGGCCACGAACAATGCTCATTTCTCGCCCGCAAGGAAGATGCCACCAACTCTGACACAGGTAGGTGTTTCTACTGAAGAAACTCTTAAACACTACTGCACTGAAAATCCGTGCGGTGCAGACAACCAGCGTACAGGTGCTACCAACTAGGTTCTCTTTGGCAAAGCTCTCGCAATGCCTTTTGCTTCGTTTCAGTGATATTGAGCGCTGTAGGAAGTGGCTTGAGAATGACTGAGTGGTGAATAATGTTAACTGGAATATACTGACACGTAAGCCTGCCATGCCTTTCACCTTTACATCTTCTTAGGCAATTTTATTTTTACTTAATAACAACAAAACCAGCTTCCTTTCAAAAGTAAATGCAGAAGTGGTGCTTAAGATGATGCAAATCGTGTACTCTTTCTTCGAGGAAACCAATGAAAGCACAGCAAACAAGATGAAACATTTCGGAATACACAAGGCATTGCGATGAAAGAAAGCGGTGCCATCTCATTTGTAAACAATTATAAAAAGAAGCACTTGACTGAAAGTTTATTAGGGATGTTGTATATATTATATATTCATTTTCACTCGGCCTTACGACTTAAACTACTACTGTACGAATGCAGGAGGTGGTCACATGGGAGCTAAACACATTGACACTTGCTCCAGCTCGATCGCCGTTTTGCCTGGGCTGCTACTTGTCGTGATGCCTCGCATACGAAACCCAGAATCGCTGCAGAAAAGCTTACACAAAATTATTTACGGCTCGTGGAGGTCTGCCAGTGTTTTGCGTGAGGTTTAGAAGTCAAAGACCCTCGCCAAATGAGGGAAAAATGTCCGAAACCAAGTGTAAAGCTATTCTTTCTAAGAAATTGCGTTTCTGACATTTCGGAAATGTATGTTTGAAAAAAAAAAAAAAAAAGACGATGAGCTAAGAGTACAAAATTAATCAAAAAGGGTGCACCTTGGATAACTTCTCGGTGGCAACCTTGAAGAACTTCGGCAGCAAGTTGCGGACAATATCCAGGCAGGAGACATCGGAATGTCGAAACAGGGACGCCCACACTGGCAGAGTGATGGCATTGATGGCCTACAAATATAGTGTGACAAAGGGTGTGTGAATGTACAATAGACTTTCGCTAACTGAAACCTGAAGGACCTGAAAAATATGTTCCGTTAAACAAGAGTTTCATTTACTGAAAGATGAACAGGCGTGCAGCACACAAGTACGGAACCAATCATTTCAGAGACAGTTATTCCATTTAAGCAGCAGTTCCGTGTAACGGATTTCCGGTTAGTGAGAGTCTACTGTATACGAATGGTGGCAAGCGCTATTCAGAAACAAATAGCCTCCTTTGGAATGTTGGCTCAATTTCTAAGCGTGTAGGTAGTTGAGTATTCACAGCCAATATAAAATCACTGCAGTCTCTTTGCCCAATATCCTGCACAGTAGATGGACACGCACAATAAGAAAATGGCTGACACAAAGTTCACATGCTGTAGTGCAAGTTTTTGAAGCTTGAAATTTATTGTCCCATAGGTACAACACATGCATAAGCAGCAATAAAGGTAGTATAAAAGCTGCATATAGGCAGTTTGACTGGTGCGACCTCCCCGTACAATGACAGCAGCAACATGACAAGAACTTCCACTGGTTGCAATATTAAATGGAAACCCTCAGAGCTAAGTAATAATACACAGAGCCCACAGAGCAAACTGATTTGTGGTGCTCTTGTTGTCGAATTCTGAAAGCCCATCGATTACACGACTTTCTACATGATCGCGTTTCTCATAAACCTATGATCATAGATATAGATAACATTTACTGTCATCAAATAATACACATATTGCTAAGTTTCAATTAATATCCATGGCTACTGCAGAGGTTGCAGAGATAGGCTGTGGGCAACTATGAGGAGACAGAATTTGGCTCCAGTGCAGACACGCTTGCTTAATGTTGAATCATGCACTTAAGCAAAGAGCCACGCTCGCTGATAGGCAACACAGCTCAGGAGCATTCGGCCATCTCTAAGTATTATGAAGGAGCCCTAAAAGAGAACAGCTCTTTCTCTCAGCTGTTGTTAATGAGTACATTCAAACCTCATTATAACGAAGTTGCATCTTACACGAAAATAAGTTTGCTACATCCATAAATTTGTTATAAAGATTGATTTATAACACTATATTTTTAAAAGAATGTGCTTCATTTACTTTGTTCTAAACGATATTTCATTATTTCTGGATTCGTTATATTGAGGTTTGAGTGTACATCAACTGCACACATCAATTACATAGATGCGCCATGCACCACGTGTTTTTTCAAGCGACTTGAAACACAATGTGGACATTTTTCTATGTGCTTTCTTCGTCGTGCTTCAGAGGATCTTTGCTGTGGATGCTACCGAATTCGATAAGTTGTTCGGCAGGGCGCGTCCCCGTAGCTGCTCCAGAACCAACATTTCTGTTTGCTAGCAATGATAAAGGGTTTAACATGTATTTCACACCTGAGATTTCAACATTTTAATATAGAAAACGAACATTACTGACTTCAAAATAGATAGATGCTTAACTGGCCCCTGACTATGATTAATTACTGTGAAAAATGCACAATACATAAGTATACCATGTCTGTTGCCTTGGTTATGGCATAGGAGTTTCCTAAAGTTAACTAGAGGGTACTCTGGCACTGCAATCGTTCAGCGACCATGGTAATGATGGGTAGTACACACATTTGCCTAGTCTTCGTAATTGCGGGTAGTGAATCGTACTTGCGGTTTCGTTTATTGCTGGTTACGGTTTTGTTTTGAAGGAAAGAACGAACCCTTTTGAACTTTGTGACTCGATTCAAAATGATAAGCCTAAAACAATAAGGTTGTGAAGCGCAAATGCTGAACATTTGCTAATTTATTTTTTGTGAAAAGATAGCTCTAAGCCACACGGACACGCACGGAGCCAAAAGCAGGTCAGAAGTACGAAAATTAGACAAATGTGTGTACTACCCATCATTCCCATGCTCGCTGAAGCGCCGTGTGTTGCAGCTCCCGTAGACACTAGCCCCAGAGTTCCCTCTAATGATTGATTGATTTGTGGGGTTTAACGTCCTAAAACCACTATTTGATTATGAGAGACGCCGTAGTGGAGGGCTCCGGAAATTTTGACCACCTGGGGTTCTTTAACGTGAGAGTTCCCTCTAGTGTATATTAGGAAACTCTGTGGGTTATGGTGCTCCACCAATAACCAAATATTACAGGTTCGATCCAAACTGTGGTAAACAGTTGGGGGCTACGTACTATTGAGCAATGTCAGTGCATGTAGATGAACGCCAGATGGCCAAAATTCCCGGAGCCCCCCCCCCCCACTATGGCATGCCTAATGATCATTATGTGGTTCTCACAAGTAAAGTCGCAAAAATTATTATTAACCCATTATCACCATCTCTTTCTTCCAACATATTATCCAGTGCCTTGGAACAAGGTTTTCGCCCTGCCGCAGTGGTCTAGTGGCTAAGGTACTCGGCTGCTGACCCGAAGGTCGCGGGATCGAATCCCGGATGCGGCAGGCTGCATTTTCGATGGAGGCGAAAATGTTGTAGCCCCGTGTGCTCAGATTTGGGTGCACGTTAAAGAACCCCAGGTGGTCGAAATTTCCGGAGCCCTCCACTATATACGGCGTCTCTCATAATCATATGGTGGTTTCGGGACGTTAAACCCCACAAATCAATCAAATCAATAAGGTTTTCAAATCTGACACAGTGGCAAGCAGGCCACCACAACTTGCGGCTGAAGAGAATAATGGACCTTCCTGCGTGAATAAGAGAAGGCAATACGAGGAGAGAGAGAGTTACCTGGCTAGGATGCTGCATCAGGGATAGCAAGAAGTCGAGGTAGACAGCAAAGAGTTCCACTGAAGGTCGCTCAGGTTCCAGGCTCTGCACACCATTCACGAAAGCAGCGAAAACAAAAACCATGTGTAGCCTTTAATCTGGGAGGGGGGGGGGGGGGGGGCTGGAGGGCAAAGGCTTAAGGGGGCAGGCTGGTCTTTGGGACCAATCAAAAAGTGACAAAAAAAAAATAATTTTTGAAAATTGACATATTTAGTTTTTGCAAGCATTTTTTTTTATCTTTCTGCGAATTTTTACACACCAGGAAGTGGTCATTTTTTCATAATGTCATTCTAACTGTCCAAATTCTTGGTGCTGTTAACATGCAGGACCTGCTAAAAAAATGGGGAACTGACTTCCCAGGCTTCTTTATAATGTGCCAGCACCTCCGTTAGAACCTCCGCTACAAATTTATGAGCACCTTTATGAGGATGGCAAAACATGCGCACCATGATTGTTGCTTTTTGAAGAAACTGTGTGTTTTCAGTTTTTTCCATTTTTCTCAAAAAAGTAAATTTACGACTGTTCAATTCTGAGGCCTCAATATCTCTGCAGCTAGGGCAGGTACAACAATAATTCTTTTTGCAATAGAAACCTGTATGTGTGTAGAATGCAAGTATAGGAGCAGAATTTAGAGCACAAACCTCTTAATTAATTACTCATCAAAATTGTAACACCATTCCAACTGCTTTAAAATGAATTGTTCATTTTGCTACAAAGTAACCAATAAAGGCCTAAAAACAAGAAAATGTTTGCATACTTCAATCTATAGTCATTACTCTATGTTGGCAAATCTTAAATATCATTTTTAATTAAGCACTTTCTTTCTATGGCAGCCTTAAACAATAGGGGGTGAGCTTGAGTTATCTCAGAAACAAGATGAGCTACAGGAAACTAAATATTTGAAATCAGCAGAAAAAATTGCATAATCTTGTGCAGTTTGATCAAGATCACTGAAGAAATAAACAAAAAGATGTCTAAAACCAGTCTTCCTCTAAAGCAAAGCACGACAACAGCTATTTCTAAGCTGTCTGCCAACTTTCTCTGCATTAATTGACGACACTGCCTATACAATAGTGCCGAAGTTATTGCCTGTATTCCACCCCAGTGCCACTATTCATTACAACAAAGGCTACGAGGCGGTGTGTAGGCAATCCAGGCACTCACACAGCAAAACAGCTCCAAATACCACTGCCTTGCAATAGGCCGGGTTGAGACCTCTGGGATGGTTTGATTCACATTATGTTCTTCGACATTGATGCACAACATGTTGTTTTTCACATTGATGCGGTATGCTTTTATTTCCTGTATCATCGGGCCGCATCGTGGTCGTTCAGAGTTCCCGAAACGTGCGTGCGGGACCGGCGGAAACAAAAGCAGAAGATTGTCGACAGCAAAGCTTCACGCAAAGGCTTCAGTGGACCATAGCAAGGTCGGTTTCCGCAAATAAAGAACTGCTCGGCGAGTATGTGCTTGAGCAGCGAGCGGCACAGCGGCCCATGACGACAGAACTGCTCCGAGTGCGGGCTATGCAATTAGTCTTAGAAAAAGGTCGAATGCGGAGCCAGTTTAAAGCGAGCAGGTGCTGGCTAACTAACTTTATGAAGAGGAAAGGCTTTTCCCTCCGAAGGGGAACATGCATATGCGAAAAGTTTTGCAGTGGAGTACGATGAAAAGCTTCACAGTTTTCAGAGGTTCGTCCTAAACTTGCGGCGCAACAACGGCTACCTGCTTGGGCGAATCGGGAATGCCGGTCAGACGCCTCTTTACTTTGACATGCCTGGCACCACAACCGTCGAGAAGAAGGGGGCGAAAACCTCCGTTATGATACAGCAAAGAATCTGTTCCCAACACTTCCACTTTCTATAAATTTGGTCTCCAGTCAAAATATGCAAAGCCAATTTCATACAGTCGCCATCATATTGCGTGTTGCACAGGGATAACAGCTCTACTCACCCAGTGCGTGACACAGTTCTGTCCGAGGCTGGCTGCGATCGAGCACAGTTTCTTCATGAAGAGGAAAGCGGCCTCGCTCAAAGGTTCACTGGACGCAGACCTTCGAGCAGATGCAAAGAAAGAAGGAAAAGATACGTGGAAGTAAGGCGCAGAACTTCAAAGACCATCGCTTTTTCTTGGGCTTACGTTAAGGCAGAGGCGACAGCGTTCAGTGTCTCCTGGTTGAACAGCGCCAGCAACAGCCTCAGTTCATCCTTCTTGGGCTGTCGATTTGTGGAGCGAAACAAGGAAGGTCGCAAACGAATGAGAACCTTTAAAATGGAGCCGCGTAAGAATATCGGAACCAACTGTAACTACATGTTCCTTAATGCAAAATGCAAAGCATCCACTTAAGTCTTAGATGTCTACTCTCTCAAGTGACACAACTGTGCTGCACAAAGCATAGAGCTTTCTACAATATTTCTCAGAGCATATTGTGGCACTGCAACTGCTTAGCCACTTGGAGAATGATGAGAATAGTAGACTCAGACCTCATTATAACAAAGTCACAATTGCCACGGAAATACTTATCTATATCCGAAAGTTTGTTATAAACAATTATTAGTAACATTGTGTCTATGGCAAAGCTATTGGTCACTTACTTTGTTATAACCGGTCATTCATTATATCCGAATTCGTTATATCTAGGTTTGAGTGTACATGGATTTGCATATTCTTCGTGCTTGCGACTTCGAATGAACTCGTGCATTGGTTTATTGCAAAGTTTTGGCTATTTCTTGATAGTTTGTACAACATGTTGGCCAACGCAGTCGTTTAAAAAGTGGCGCTTCCCTTATCTCCTACATGGGTCACTTGTGAAGGGAATTCGGCATCTGTATTGAAAAATATTGATACCAATTTCCAGAATAGAGTGAAATGTGGACTCAAATTCTGAAAGTTCAATGCATGGTGACCACATGGGTGGCCAATGGAAGAGGTAATTGAAAGCAGCCATGTCTGTGCAATTCATGTACAAACTTTGCGAAAATTTTCAAAATAAAAAAAGCACACAAGATCAAGATAACCTCACACACAAGTTGAGCCACCTGAAAAAGGACCAAAGGCAGCGCGTTTGAAACCCCTGCACAAAAGTCTAGCGCTGCTGTTACAGGGGGAAGGGGGGGAGGGGTCTGGACTGCCATTGGCAACGCTGTTCTAACCTTCTGTCCGAGCACTTGCAGTAGACACTCGGCGGCAAGTACGCGCAGGTTCCTGTCCGAGAGGAGGTAGCAGAAAATGCGGGGCAGCAGCCCGTCCGACTCCATCACTTCCTTCAGGGGCGTCCACTCCATGAAGCCCGCCATCGTGAGCAGCGTGGTCTCCGTCAAGCTGTCGGTGCAGGGACAGCTGCGTGGGACGAAACAGAGCCAAGCGCACCGGTTTGAACAAAACTGCTGCACAAATGGAACAACTTCCTCTACCATGATTTGCTTCATACCTGAATGATGCAACCCAGTTAATCTCTCAGTAAGCAGAACTCCATGTTAATTGGAACACAATTTTCCAGTCTCTTCAGGTCCCGTTTATTTTTAGAGTCTACTGTACTAGAAAATTGAATTGTATGTGTTAGACATCAGTACACAAATATACATGTGTTCAGGAAGTTTCATTAATTATCAACCAAGACTGAGAGTGAGATGCGGGCAGGAGACCAGCTGCACTGTTGACCAGGAAAAGTTTTCACGGACCAAAAACGTGAAAATGTCAGCTTTCCGGCCGGCTGAAGCTACTCTGAATGGATAGAGCTTGACTAAGGTAATGACCCCAAACACGTACACACGCGATCGAGGCTATGTAGAAAGAAGCACATAACTTCCAGTAGAATAAACTTTCTATTCTAGAAAGACATCCTCTCTCACTCTCTACTTTCCAGTCGTGAATCTAGGGCAGGGGTTTTGAAGCATGCTGGTGCCATGGAATCCTAGCTAGGCTATATCAAGTGCCAAGGAGACCCCCCCCCCCCCTCCCTCCAGCGAGATTTCTTCATTTTTATTTTAAAAAATTCAAATTAAAATTCCGTACAGCAAAAAAACTCCAGGAGTAAGCTCTATGCTTGACCTTCTCGCTTACGTTAACACACAATCGTGCTTAAGAGATAAGCATAGCGTGCAGAACACGCGGGACCGATGGTGATGGTGGAAAAAACAAGCGTAACAGAGACGCAGAGCCTCGGCATAGTGGCGCCTATCTTCAAATAGCCAGAATGCGCACGGTGGAAATGCAAGGCCTCCAAGATTTAAGCCCCCATGCGTTTCATTTTCAAAGTCTGGCTGGATACAAACTGCTGGGAGGATTTATTGTGCAGATAGGGTGTATCTGTTACGCACTGATATGTGCCTATTGACGTTCGGGCATGAAAAATGGAGGTTCCCTAAATAGACCACACCTCGGGACCACCACCTGAGGGAGTTGAGTGGGCAAGTGCGGAACTAGGGGAAAATTTATTAGTGGCTGCGGTACCCCAAGTAGGGGCCGGTGGAACCCACTTTGAGAACCGCTGACCTAGGGGAATGCAAGTTTGTATTATTCACTGGTGAATATAAGGTCGATGTTTGATTTGAGTGAAGGCGTCTTTTTTTCTTTCGAATGGAATCGGAAAGCCGTCGTAAGATGTGGGATCGGCATAAAACTGCGCCGTACAACCAAGGTTTTTAAGACGTTATTTCTATGGGGATTTTGCCGGGACCAAGCTCATTCGTCGCAAAATGCGGGTCGTCGCAAACCCAGGGGATGAATAATCAAAGTTCTACTGCGCGCGTGAACGCACTAAATGGAATTTGTAGGCAACGAGTACTCACCTCTTGGTTGTTTTCGTCTGCATTCTGGTTGTCTCTCTGCAATGCACATTGAAATGACAATGTTTATAAAAGTATTGAGAGTCTACAAGTACAAAAAAAGAAAGTAACCATGCACAAATGTGCATTTTACACGCTGTAACCCCACCAGCTGCCTGCTTCACAAGGACGAACACAATTGACACAAGGTCACAATGGTAAAGCGTTTTAAAAGAAACAAACAGTTGGAAGTGAATGCCCAGTGCCCTTCATACACTCCCCTCATGTGCTTTGTGCTGTTAACCCTTTACTGTCGAATGTCGCGAATTCGCGACATACTGAGAAACTTCGAGCAAGCCAGTCCCGAAATGCGTGCCACCTTTAATGTGGACTTGTCAAGTATTCACAAGGCATGTAGCTTTCAGCATGAAAAATCTATTGCTGTCTCGTCTAAGACATTTTAAGCTAGAACCAATTGCTTTGGAGCTGATGGCGGAGAGTGTGAAGCACGTGCAACAGCTTTCACTTCGCTTTTTTCTCGCCTTAGTGACGCGAGTTCTATCTTAAATACTTTAGTTTATTTGGTGTGTATGCACTCAAGAGGTGGCACACAACATGTTACGTTGTTCTGCAGTACGTTTTTTTTGTTGTTGTTGTTGCAAGGTCCTCACTTCTGTGGCATATGAAAAATTTGCGACATGCATAAAAGTATGCATTTAAGTTTCATTTTAGTTAATTTAACTGCGGAATCATTTAAATATTGCAACTTGAAGCTAGAAAATGAAAATAATTTTTATTTTGTTTGGCACTATCCCAATTCAGGCCTAAAAGGGTTAAGAATTCATAATGCTTGAAATATTCAAACTAATATCATGACATTCAAATTCCCTTCAATTAGAATTTAAGTTATTGAAAATATCGAATTACTCAAAATGAACAAACAGATGTAGTAGTCTGCATAAGACCCCCTGATGATTGACTGATATGTGGTGTTTAACGTCACAAAATCACTAAAGCCCCCTGCAAATGTGGTTTCACTGCAGTAAAGAAGTGCAAAACCGTGAAAGCACCTGTTCAGGTGTGTACTATCTGCATGCAATCTCCGGTAAAGATGGTTTTACTAAAACTGCGATGTGCTAAGGAGTGCTGAACCGTGTAATCATCTATTCAGAAAAAATCCACACTGCCGCAAAGCCCCACTTCAAGGTTAATCAACATATTACCCTCACATCGATTCATCATTTTTCAAGTTTCAAACATACGTACCCATATACCTGTATGTTTACCTGTATGAAAATAATTTACATGGTATCTATTGCAAGAGTATTCATCATTTACTTCATTATAACCAATATTTCATTATATGCGAATTTGGTATATTGAGGTTTGAGGGTGACGAGGTCTGATTATATGTGATCACTGCTCCTACAATAAACCTGCGCGCGCTGCTTTTCCGCCTATCTATTGATGTGATGCTTCCAGGCATAAACCGAATGTGGGAAGTTAGCACTGCGTCCATGTCATTCTGTCCTTTGTTTTGTTTCACAAGTGTGCTAAAATAGTTAACTGAATAACCAACATGCCAGGCCTATGCCTTGTCTTTACTCTTCTGCTTCTACAGCCAAACACTTTTCTATTTCGTCAAGTCGTAGCAAATACCGCTGCACTCACCAGGTCTCGGTACCGGCTGTAGTGAGTCTCGAGCGTGCGCACGAAGAAGCCGCATATCTCACGCCGCTCCTTCACAAGAGCCTGGTACAGGTCTCGCCGGCGTGCTCCCTCCACTGTCTGCAGGTCCACCACGTCCTCGGCAAGCCGAAGAAACGTCAGCAGCACCAACTCTTTCTGCGTCTCCTGCGCAAGCATCAACAGCGCGGTGACGGTCACGACCGGAGGTCGACATAGACAAGACCGAGCAGTTTGTGAGGTCTTACAAGAGTGAAAGCTAGACGTAGGTAATCCACTGAGCTGAGAAACTTGGAAAGATAGAGACCCGAAGTGATAAGGCATCGTCATGCAAATGATGCCCTTGGAGCCAATGTTCTTACATTGAGACATATCTTGGATTGGAATTGAAGATTCATCATCGCCCCAAATACATTTTCGTCATGCACACTTAGGCACTCGTCATCGTTACAATTCGTCACATTGTTGTTTAAAGATTGCCTCTGGCAACGTTCCTGGTTCAACAACTATCGTGTTGAACTCATGAGTCGCTCTAAACTCCAACGCTCGTTCTTCAAGAGCAACAGTGATGCCCGACGCAAAAATAATTCTCAACCTTCATGAAGACGGAAGCGCAGAGTTCAACTGTAACTTTGATACAATGTAGAGAACAAGTACATTATCTGCATAGCTTACTGCTTCAGCTTGATAACTTGGATGGCATTCCTTTGTTAACATTGCCAACCAAATGAACATGTCGAGGATCAAACCTTCCCCGTTTAGCTTCTCAAGCGTTCAGGTTGCAGGGGAACAATACACCACTAACCCCGCAATTAAAGTCTGAAATGCTGGCCACATTGAATTGCTTGACAAAGAGATTACCACATCCACACAATCAAATCGCTCTTCAACCCATACTCGTAATATCCTATTCAGCGATGTCATCATTTTTTCAGGAAACCTTCACGTTTTTCATGTTTAGAAACATTTTTTTTTCTGCATAGATTCTCACCACTATGCAATAAACTTGAGTTCGACTTTTAACAGCCATGTTTAAGTCATGTTTAACAGCCTATTCCTGTAACGTTTTTGTCTTGTTGCTTTACCTACAGTACTGCTAACTCCCAATGGTGCTAGTTTCTGCATACAGACACAGACAATATACACATAACAACATCAATTACCTTATATAACGACATCAGATAGTACATCAATCATTCTTATGCTGGCCACCATACTCATACTAGGTGACAAACCAGCAAGCCTGGTTAACAACCATTACGATCCACTGCCCCGCTTCAAGGAGAAAATGGTACGCTATACAAAGCACACAGCACAAAAAAGCTGCACTCTCAATCACGGAACACCTGAATGTACAAACAGCACAACCTAGAAGTAGTTACAGCATAATACAGAAGCGAAAAAACAAGGATAGAAAAGAGCGCTGACTTTCAACGATGATTTAATAGCGGAGTGGTGTACATATATAAGCGAAAAAAGAAGAGAATGAGCATGCGTAGAAGGGTGCAGTTAACAACCACTGTGTTGCAAAGTTACCAAAACAGAGAAACTTAGAAGTAGTTGCACTGTAACTACTTCTAGGTTGCCCTGTTCGTACATTCAGTTATGATCTACCATGTTGCCCACTGTTCTGACGCTTCACAGAGTACCAACAAGCTTGTTGCTACACCGTGCCGACACAGAGGCCTGACATCTTCTACGTGTAATCGGATGCGTACCCCGATAATGGCCAGGTCGTTCAGCTCCTTCATAAGTTGTGGCCACTGCTGCGGCCACTCCCGCTTGATCATCTCCACAAGCAGCTTCGCAAGCGCGTCCTTGATGTGGGCCTGTTCCACGAGGAGGTGGTCTGTGCCCTGTGGGAAAGTTAAACTTTGAACCTGCTCATACAGCCAACACGACTAGACGATTTATCAGGTGAGGCAGATTTATTTATTTATTTTTGTTTATTTATTGGGCCTGTATTCAAGACCTTCAGCTGCAGTGGGTTAGCAGTTTGATACCCTGCATTTGAGTAATAAATGACCACGCTGACAAGCAAACAGAACTGATTAAATTCTGTCAGTGTGTTAAGCAACAACTTAACTTCGCGTTAAATATTTAGTGGGTGCTAGAAACTTGAAACATTAGAGACACAAGCATAAACTATCGTACATCAGATAAAACTACAAAAACAAATTATCAGATATAATGGACATTGTATATAGTGGCGCTACTTTCAAGGCAGAAGTCACTTCATTGTAACGACATTCAACTGTAACGATTGAAAGAAAAAAAAAAGTCTCATTTTACCTAACAGACAGTTATAGCTTACAGCTCTTTGCACATTTACGTTGCCATGTGAAAAATGGCTGCCGTCCCAGCATGTGTGTCCTTAAGGATGCAGAAAAGCGTTCATACATCGTAAATGTCTGTCTAACGCAAGATGTAGTGGCTTCATCTGATTGACAGAAATCAAAGCACTCTCGCATCAATCTTTTGTTAGGCACAGCAGTGTTGAAACGGGGAACCGATTTGAACAACGTCACTGACACTTCGCACTGAAAGTGTCCCAAGGCTCCAAGAGCACCCGATTTTACCAAAACTACTCTTGCTGTTGCAACAAAGAGCAAGCAAACACGGCAAACTCAGATCAAAATGGAGGCCACGCTGTTACAGCAGTACGAACATGTTAAATTAAAAAGCTTGGAGTACACTGTTCAACGATTGAAAAGCAGCAACCCGGGCTCGGTAATGGAGTACAGGTTTCCACAGAATTCAGTTCCTGTCATATTACTGTAATTTCGACCCAAACACTTAAATCAGAGGGAACGAATCAGGTTAAACAGATTCGGCCAAATCTACATTTCGGCCACAAATATGACTGCTAAGGCCACCTTTGTAGTGACACAATGCAGTTAGCATCTCGAGCAACTGTGAATATCAGTAGTTACAAGACCATATTTGATGTTTCATTTCAACTCGTTAGTGCTCTACATAATCTGCAAACGTCCCTACTCCATTATGAGCATGTTCACTTTGGACCAGCCATGTCATAATGCATGCACGAGCTTTGCTTGTTAACAATTACAAGACTGTGTTGAAAAAAAAATAATAATTAGAGAGTTGAATACAAAGCCTTGTTAATGTTTCAGCATGAGCGAGCGTACCTCGGCCATCATCTTCATGACGTTGTCCTTGATGAAACGTTTGTCGTCGATCGCCATCATATTCCAGCGAAACCTGCAGGTGATAATTTGTCAATTTAAGCTAGTACAAACTGTCAAAAAACATTGCCATTTCAAAGAAAATATTTCCCGGAGCTCATATAAGGTTCACTTATGAAGGAGATTTGGGGCTGTGATTTCAACATGTTGACACCTATCTCCAGCACGATTAAAACCTGGAAGCCGATTCATAAATGCAGACTTGCTGTTGCACAATTATCCGTTAACACATGGTGACCGCAGGGGGGTTGAGAAAATACAACACATGGAATGAAAACAGTTATGTACAGGCAGCGGGTAGCAAGAGGGAGGTTTGTGGACTGTGTGTTCGCGGTCCGTGCATTAAGATGTCACAGCAAGTGAATACAAATAAGGAAGGGAAAAAAAAAGAAAATTCATGAACGATTCTACTATGTGAAAGTGAATTACCAGCGATTATGTGTCACACACAAAGTTGTTTTCCATTAATTGTTTTATGAGTTTTGATTTTATTAGCCTATGCCACTTTAAACCACTTCCACGTCAGTCTGTGTGGGACAGAAAAGGGCCACGCTGGTTAGTTATGTATGTATTTACTTTTTCTGCTCATTTATTGATTTACTTTTTCCTGTTTAATCTTAGTGGACTAGCGGAGAGTAGTGGAGTCTGCGCGATTTCTGTGGCACATACCTCCCAGGAAGTTTTCTGTCGAATAGCTCATTGTTCACAATGTAACAGTTTGCTCACAGAGTTAAAATTTGATTATATTTCTTATTTCTCATGGGGTCGCAGTCATGGTAACCAATTTGACCGGTTGGCCAGTTGCTGTTCAAGCTCATTCCGGGTGGCCACAGTCACTTCTTTAAAATTTGAAGGTGAAGGTCCGTTCATGACAGTTTACTCATGAGTATGTCACAGTTCCACGATCAATTGTCTAAATTAAAAACTACAACTTTGCTGTAAAACATGACTGCTCACTTGATACAATGCTCCACGAGCTGTAGTCCAATATGGCGGACCAGAGCAGGGTTACCCTTGGCCGCAAGCACAAAACCACATTTTGCACAGAGCGGAGACGTTTCCTTGAAATCTTCATAAGCCTGGGCAATAGAGAGAAGTAAAGCAAATTCATGACATTTTGGTTTCAGAATGGGAGTAGACAGTCGAAAAGCGCAGAAACTGTCCTAAAAATATGCCACCATCGTTTGATCGACACAAATAAATTGAGCCCCTACATTCGTCTATTTCATGACCGCTGATGCGATCCGAGTGCAAACAAAATTGGAAACGTGCATCCGTGGCATGACTAATCCTGGGTGGACATTTAAAATGAAACTATGAAAATGGAATTGCAAGTGAACAACTCCCAACAAGCACCAATGCTCGAGAGCAAAACTTGGAAGCGGTTCGAAGTGATGAGAAAGCAGCTGTAAAGGTATGATTATTTGCAACGCACTGATCACTCACTGGTCGGCTCTATGGCCCCCACTTAGCTGATTCCAGAACGTCTGATTAATGAGGCAGAGGCAGCCCTACCCCTTCCTTCTGCTACAATACCCTCTCCCTTTCTTTCTACCGCAGCGTCTCCGGCATGTGGAACAAACATGGCTTTCATTCATTCACGAGTTGATATTCTCGAACTGTCTCGGGGCAAACTTCCTTTCGTTGGTTCAGGTGACCCCAATATTATTTCAGCAGCAACACTTGGTCTGCACCAATCTTTGAAGGAAGGTCGTGAATGCTTCCGATTCTTCCGAGCCAAGATAAATATCTAACAAAATGAACAGGAACGTTAACCTCCACAACACTGTCTTTTGAACTAATGTGGGTGGGATGGATAAAAATGAAAACTGAGGAGATTAAACGAATATGCAAGAGAACGAAAGGTATTATTTTTGGTTAATGCCCTAGAAATTGTGAGGCTAGAAGTGTGAATAGCTTACATTGCACAATGGACTGGAAAATCACTTATGTTCTTACGCAGAACAAATCATTGAGATGTTCAACACATTCTCAGGTGCTCCTCGAAGCCTATTTGAATTACCCTTGAGTAAATTCTGAGCACTTTGGCTTTCCTGAATTACTCACCAGCATTATGCTAGATGAATGCAGGCTTCAAATTCTGATTTTCAGAACCTCGCGAAGCTATTTAGGTGTAATTGCCCGTGCCAGCATGCTTACCTTATGGCAACACGGCTTAAAACACGCCTAAAACATTTTACTCGTAACTATATTGCGCTACTTCGTGGGACACATAATTCGACCGAACGCTCAACGCAGTCAGGAAACCAGTCACAGTTGTGAATAGACCTGTATCTCGCAAAGCAGAACGCCAAAAGACCGAGAAGGGCGGCTGGGAAACGTAGTTATAAATTCCCGTTACTTGTAACAAAAACGCCGGCCAGGTCATTGCTAGCGACTAGAATCACTGCGTTATAGAATAGAAGACCATAGCTGCATGAGAAACGCCTTTAGGTCAAGAGTGCGCTATTTTTTGGACCGAAATCCACACATCCCGCGCACCAGAGAAGTTTTCTATCACACGCTGTTAGTTTGAGCACCGCGAAAGAAGAAGACATCGAAACTAACGTGGTAGGCCTCCACTCTCCGCTCCAGTGTTGTCGTGGCTGAAACGGCGGCTTCCACGCAAGCGATAACGCTTTTGCAGGCCTCTTCAACGTCCGACATCCTGCTAACAGTCAAAGTCAAGCCAGTATACCGTTTTGCCAGCTCAAAACATCATTGCGGCGGTGAAAAACGTCAAACTCGTTGAGCTGCGCTCGGTTGTTTTTTTACTATGCTCAAAATGGACGCCATTACCAGGGTTGCTCGAAGGCACTGTGAACCACGCCAAATCACGCTGCCCCGGATTTTCAAACGCGCGGTCGTAAAATCGTGTCTACTCAGACTATGTTTGAGTTCACTATCACTCAAACGCTAACTTGTGTACGCATTTTTTTTTTTGCAGAGACAGCATTTGTGAAGCAAGTAATTTTGGTCAAACGGCGTAAGTGATAATAAGGAATTTATTGAGGGACTTTAAGTGATGACTCTCATTAACATCTCCTAAGAAATGTAGAAGGCATTGCTCTCTTTGAGCGCATTTCGGCATGATTCGCAGGCACAATACAAGATCTACAGGAAAGAGTAGTTGAAGCAACAGACGCTGTTTATTTGTGGTCATACTTATTAAAATTTTCATCAAAGGCGGTCAAGTTTCTGCGGTGCGACGACGCGCGGTATGCACTGATCCAAGTGAAATATCCAAAGTTCAATCCAATATTTAAAGAAAGTGCGCGCGCCGTACTGATCAACGTTACTAGAACCAGGTACTGATAACACGGAAGGCCAGGTGTTCGTGCAAGACTGCCTGCTCTCGTTTTTAGCCGCGCAACGCGATGCTCCCGTTGTGTGCGTAAACAATTTCCAAACAGCAGTGTCCGCGCAGAGCGGATAGGATAGTACTCTAATCTACGTCATCATCACGAGTCCACATCATCTATGTCATCATCACGTGCTCTCTTCCTCCTCTTGTTCTCCTTCTTCACTCCCAGAGCGCGTGCGCTGATTTGTCAGGCGTGAGATGCAATAACTCTTATGGGTGACAGAACAATTACAGACTGAAAGAAAGAGACAAAGCGAAAGATAGAACGAAAGGGGAAAAAGTAAGACATAGAGATGAGATAGAAATAATCATGTAAGGCGAAAGAAAATGGAAGGAGCGATAAAGAGAAAGAAGTATCTAGAGAGAGAAAGAAGGAAATGGAAATGAATAGCGACAGGAAGTGGACATAAGAAACAGAGAAAAAAAAATAGAGAGCAACAATAAGCAGGCCGCACGCGGTCAGTGATCATGAAACCGAAAAACTTGAAATTTACGCGAAAAAGCAGTTGAGTATTCATGGGTATATCCTACAAAGCCAAAAGGGAACTAAATCATAAAAAGGCGATCGGTGTACGTGCCTTGCAACAATTTCATTCTACCGCAGAAACATTAATTGAGGTATTACTATTATGATGGAAGACTATGCCTTGCTTGTTGGTTTCCACAACGTGCAGCCAAGAGTGACCATGGTAGAAAAGGGGGGGGGGGGGGGGGCTCAGTCAGCCCCTTCCCCAACTTTTCTGAATGGGAAGGGCTCGCGCCCCCCCCCCCCCCCCCCCCCCCCCGGCTGATACGCCCATGTTTATAGGCCTTATAGTTAAGTGATGCCGGTTGTTTCTATAGGTTGTTGCTAGGCTAAATAATGTTAAGTTGTTTCTACGTTGATTCTCAGCGCCGAGAGATTCGCCTTTAAAGCATGGACATCACAGACACGACACGAATGTCCAAACTTCAGACGTAGATACTCCCGCCGAAACCAAGTGCTCGCACCTCTCATATCTATACAGGCACGTCGCCGTTGGCGTAAGTGTTCCATCGCTTCGGTTTCTTTGGCTCAATGCCGTCGCTTCACAGCCATTTTGTTGGGCTAATTGTTATTTTCTTAAGGAGCGGGGATTCACGCGATTCGCGTGGCACATAGCCGTTCATGTTCGCGATAGCTTTCTAACATTACGTTGGGAGCGCCTCTTGTCTTGATGTCTTAGAAAAAAAATGTGTGTTTAGAAAAGGTTAATTTCGGCTAGTACGTCACAAACAATTGGACATGGTGTCTGTACATCGAGTCATAGACCGTAATAAACACACACACACACACAACGAGTGTTTACCGAATGTTCGAACATGGCATCCGAGATTGCGAGCTTGCGGCAGAACCACGCCGCGCGCCTGCAATCTCGGATGCCATGGTTCAACGCTTTTTGCGGCGAGGTTGGGCTATATGTAGCAGCACCAGGTGGCAGCACCGTTCCGCGCAAGTGTGGTACACGCGGCGGCGCTTCGTTGCGTGTTGTTACCACAAGCGTGACCACCCACCAGGGGGAAATCAGGGCCGATGTACGGACCACCCCAGGGCAAACCCTCCGCGAACACACCCAGCCGGTTTACGCAGCAAACATGGCACAGCTAGCACCTTTGAGCACACCCCGTCCACCGGGGACGAGTTTGGCTCCGCCAACATGGGGGCCACATCTGGGCACTGCACACCCTACGAAGACCCCGTGGCAAGCTTTCAGGCTCAGCGCAAGCCCCGAGCTGTATCAAATGGTTGGGGAAATGGTCCGCCAGCAAATGATGCGCCAAATAATAATGCCGAGTCAAACCACCCAATGATTCTGAAGAGCCGTCGAAGACACCACCACCGCAAACGCACAACCACCAATGTAAACGTTGGTTTTCTCAATCTTCATGGGGCGAGAAAGGCAGCTAAGTGGGCTGAGCTGTATAAGACGCTGAATAGCGAAAAGATCGCTCTGTATGGTGTGGTGGAAACTCACCTACGAGAGTTGGAAGAGCCACCAGTTGACCCCGAATGGCAGTGGGTGGGCTGCAATCGTACAGGGGATTGCCGCAAAGGAGGCGGCGCTGGTGTGCTGTGGCGCAGCAATACAGCCTGGATGCCAATGAAGGGTCCTTGTGCCGAGCACATTTGGGTTTCTGGGACTATTCTTGGTGAGCCAGTTCTCTTTGGTGTGGTGTATTTAACGGTGGCTAGTGGACCACATGACGGTAACGACAAAGTCCTACAGTGTATCATTGAAGATGTGAAACGGTGGGGTGCAGACCGCGAGGTGTTGTTGATGGGAGACTTTAACGGACACATCCCGGCCACTGACGGGTACTTGGATTACAATGGGAAGCTGTTGTTGCAATGTGCGGAGCAGCTCTCTTTGGAAATCGTTAACCTTCGCACTGACTGTGAGGGATGCTTCACATGGTGCGCTCGTACCAGCCGCTCTACCATAGACTATGCTCTGGTGACTGCAAAACTGGCCGCTCGCATAGCACAAGTGCATATTGATGAAGAGGGCCAGTTCAGCCTTGGAAGTGACCATAATCGCATACGGCTGTTGTTCTCTAAGGGCGGCTTTCGAACAGGCTGCATGTCACCTCCACCCAGGCGTGGCATGTACTTGCCGAGCAAGTCCGTGGAGAGGGTCGCCAAGGATTTTGAAAGTAGTCCTCAACGGCGGGAATCCCGCTCGTACAGTGAGTTCATGCGCGCACTGGACGCTGTAATGCGTACCCAGATGGTCCAGGAGAGGCCGGGACGCAGGCCACAGAACCCATGGTGGGACAAAGAAGTGGAGGTGGCGTGGAAGGAGCGCCGCCAAGCAAATCGGGAACATCGAAGATTTGTCAAAGGCCTTGACACTGAGGTATGTGCAGAGAAGTGGGCTGTGTATCTGGACCGTAAACACAAGGTACAGACCCTGATTCAGTGCAAGATAGCAGACTACAACCTTAGGCTGATCCAGTCCATCAGACAGGAAGGAAGATCTGCAGCACACAAATTTTGGACATACATTAGGTCCTTGGACAGAGCCGCCCCCCCGCCACCTCCTCTCATAGATGCGGCAACGGGGCAACCAGTCGGAGAGCCCTGTGAATACATTGCACAGCACTTCTCCCGGATTTTCGGGACCTCAGACTTGAATACAGACACCACCCTTAGTAAAGAGGAGGCAATCAGTCCTAATACCGAACGCCCCCCAAGCCAAACAGAACCACCCTGGGCCCTCTCAAGGTTCACAGTTGAACGGGCGTTGAAGCGGATTAGGGCTGGAACGGCCACTGGTCTGGACGGCATGCCAGCGCGCGTACTAAAGTGCTTGGGAGAAGACTCGAGGGAACAGCTCGCAGAGATCCTCACGGCCATCATCGAAGGCGAGCCCATCCCTAAAGAATGGCATGAAGGGAAGGTGATTCTTATCCCCAAAAGGGGCGGAGATGCGAGGAACATAGAGGACTACAGACCAATAACGGTCACCAGTGTTATGTATCGCTTGTTCGCGGGGGTCATCAAAGCATGGATGAGTGGCTGGGCGGAAACCAAGGGACTACTGACCGAGCTTCAGAATGGCTTCAGGCCAGGCAGACGTCTGGATGACAATCTGTTCGTCGTCACACAGTGTGCAGAAATAGCTCGCAGGGAAGGGAGAACGCTGTTGTGCTGCTTCCTCGATGTTGAAAAAGCGTACGATAGCGTGCCGCACGGTCCTCTCTTTGCATGCCTGTCTGACCTTGGACTGCCCCGGCTGCTAATCTCCACTATACAACGGTTGTACAGGGACAATGTAGTGAGTGTGCAGTTGGGTGCCATAACTACTGGCCCAATTCATGTAAATAAGGGTCTGAGGCAGGGCTGCCCACTGTCACCATTGCTGTACATTCTATACGCATCCAGAATAGAGCGGGCCTTGTTGAACTCCAACCTCGGATTCAGCATGCGTTTCAGCACAACTAGTGCTGAAGAGAACTTCCACCTGCCTGGTTTGGCATTTGCAGATGATCTGGTGGTTATGGCAGAGAGTAACCAGGAGTTGCAATCCCTCCTCGACATCTGCCAGACGGAACTCGCGAGTCTTGGACTTCGATTCAACACTAAGAAATCGGCGGTTGTCCGTCTAACTGGAGGGAGTACCGATGCAGCAGCGTTGACTTTAGGAGGAGAACTGCTGGCCACACGCAACGATTACAGATACCTGGGCGTCACCCTGTGTGTGGATGCAGCAAAATATAGTCTACACGAGACTGTGATTCGACAGACTGCGTTGCAGGCTCAACGAATCCTTCGTCGCCGATGCCTATGGGGTTGCAACCGATTTCAGATGATCCGGGACCTGTGGAAGATGGTTCACGTGCCGGGCCTGACGTTTGGAAACGCGGTAGTGTGCATATCGCCA